ATGTCCCTTAAAAAAATATGGTTGAAGGGCCTACAATCTTTGCTGGAAGCTTAAAATTTGTATCTCATTTTTACCGATGTACATGTTTACAGTTATTCTGGATTACACATAAAAAAAAAAAAGGCAGCCACACTTTCTTATTTAATGTTTAATGAAGGAAGTTAGTCTCAAATGAGCTAATTATCTAGACTGCAAGTTGAAAGTTGCATTTCAAAATTTAGATCCAAAACATTTTTTTTTAGCAAATATACCCCCAGCATCACAGTACAGCTTGTCAAAATGGCAATTTGTAAAACAAGTTAAATTGCCATGGCATATAATCTCCCTTGTGCTAAACATTCTGTGGCTGTCCAATCACAGGTGATTTCTATTATGACCTGATATATAAAACCATGAAACTCAAAGTGGGTGTTCTTTCTTTTTCCTATGACTGAAGAAGCTGTCACTTATATAAATCGACCTTGTTACGTCCACTGTGTATCAATCAGATAACCAATCCTGTTCAAGTTCATGACAGTACAATTAGAAAAAAAACTTAGCAAGTAGGGTTTGTTTGATGGATTTCTAAAAGAAAGCCTCTTCTCTCTAAAAAGAACATGTCAGCATGGCTTAAGTTTGCAAAGTTGCATCTGAACAAACGACAAAACATGGAGCAATGTCCTTTGGACAGATAAGACCAAAGTGGAGATGATTGGCCATAATGCAAAGCACCACTTCGGGAAAACCAAACCTAGCATTTCAGCACAAACACCTCATACCAACTGTCCAGCAGGTGGTGGATGAGTGATGATTTGGGATTGTTTTGCAGCCACAGGACCTAGGAACCATGCAGTCAACCATGAATTCCTCTGCATACCAAAGTATTTTAGAGTCAATTGTGACAGCTAAAGCTTGGTCAAAATTGGATCATGCAACAGTACAATGATCCCAAGCACACACCTACAATAGAGTGGGGAACCCCCACAGAACCGATTGATCCCATTTTGGGCCCGCTGAAAACGAGTGTTGCCGCATGCAAGTCACGCAGCCAGCAGTAATGATCCAGCACCGCATCAAGTGGCTTTGAGAAGATGGGGAATCCTGCCTCGCTCTCCCCCTCTTGGCGGTCAGGGGTGATCCCGGCCCATGAGTCAGATCTTTGGCTATACCAACAAAGGCCACTAATTGCCTCTTACATTGTAGTAAATGTTCGAATACAATGCCTGAAAATTGCATTATCACGTTTCTTTTACACTGTAACGGATTGTTCGCCATTGTCTAAATAAGAATTGTATTGCACTCAACTATCATATCATTCATAAACCTGTATGCTACGCTTTTCATTGCCTTGCATATATATAATCTCGCAAAGTAAATGCATATTCATTCTATATCATTGTTCACTCACTTTGACTTATATGCCCATGTGCAGGCAATCATATACTTTTTCTATTAATCTGCAATATGTTTGCATTTATTTTACTATTAAAATATAAACCATTTAACACAAACCTACAACAGAATGGCTGAAAAATAAAAGAATCACAATGTTGCAATGGCCCAAAAAGTCCACACCTCAACCGGACTGAAGCGCTATCACAAGATCTTAAGAGAGCTGTGCATAAACAAATGCCAGCAAATCTCAGTGACCTGAAGCAACGTTGTAAACAAGATTTTATAGACTTTCCAGGTAGCAGTATTAGAGCTTATTTTGTGAATTGGCAGATAGACTATACTGGGATGGATGGAATGATTTGCTGTAGCTGCAGCTATTATATCTGAATCTATTGCCAAGATTTCATATAACCCCCGCAAAAAACATGCAAAACAAATTACAATCATATTTTCCTTGGGTTATAGGTACTATAGTGGTAATTGTATTTAGTAGTGAAGGGTTATTTTAATCCCCTTCAGGATCACTGACGGTTCAGGACCGTCAGCGGTAAAACGTGCGCTTGGACCGCTGACGGTCCTGAACAGACATAGCAAAAAACGGGCTGCAGGAAGCGATCAAAGATCACTCCCACCGGTATAACGCTGTAACAATCTGCCAGACATCCCAGGCAGATCGTAACAGCCAACTGCGGCGTGTGAGCGATCCACGATCACTCACAATTGGCTGCTGTCAAAGTGGGTGTTACAAACACTCACTTTGACAGCATAGGCGTGCGCAGCCTATTGCATTAGGGTGTGCACCCTAAAGCACAAACACACGCCGTGTGTGTGTGTGTGTGTATGTATGTATCTATCTATCTATCTATACATATATATATATATATATATATATAGATAGATAGCTACATACACACACACACACATACACTGCTGTGTGTGTGCTGTTAGTGTGATGTGTGTGTGAGGGTGCTGTTAGTGTGATGTGAGGGTGTTTGTGTGTGTGTGTATGTGTTTGTGACTGTGCTGTTTGTGTGTGAGGGTGTTTGTGTGTGTATGTTTGTCCTGTGAGGGTGCTGTTTATGTGAGTGTCGTGTATTTGTGAGGGTGCTGTTTGTGTGTGTGTGTGAGGGTGTTGTGTTTTTTTTAAAGGTGCTGTGTGTGTTTGTGAGGGTGCGGTTAGTGTACTGTGTGTGTGAGCTGTATGTGTGTAGGTGCTGTATGTGTGTGTGCTGTATGTTTGGAGGGATTTGGCAGATTAGTAAATCCTTGCTGCCATGTTCCATCCCTGGTGGTCCAGTGGAGAGTGAACTCTAGCCTGCGGGGCTAGAGTTAACTCTCGCGAGATCTGAGCGTTGCCGCAGCAACACTCAGATATTGCGAGAGGAACCTGGCGGAGCGTCTGTCTAGAGCTCCCTGGGTCCTCTCCTGCCTCCCTCCATCTTTGGTCTCCCCGCTGGCCCGCGGAGTCTTAGAGCAGAGCCGGCACTCAGATAGCGCCGGCTCTGTGTGTGTGTGTGTGTGTGTGTGTGTGTGTGTGTGTATGTGTGTATATATATATATATATATATATATATATATATATATATATATATATGCGTACACACACACACACTCACAGACACATTCAGACACACACACATACATACACAAACACTCACAGACACACAAACACTCACAGACACACACTCACACAGACACACACACAGAGACACACACTCACTGACACACACACACACATACACTCAGAGACACACAAACACATACACTCAGAGACACACACACACACACATTCAGACACACACACACTCACACACAGACACACACACACACACACACACGAACAAATTATTACATTTTAATATAAAAAAATGTCCACCCAGCCTCCTACCTGGAGTGGACTTTTCCCTGGGGTCCAGTGGGGCGGGCGCCTCTCTGAAGCTCAGCCTCGGCGAGGGAGCTCTCTGCTCCCTTTCGCCGCACGGGCTGTCTGCTGGAGCTGTTCCTGCAGGACTCAAACCAAAGGCGTGCGCACGGGGATTAGGGTGTGCCCAGGCACACCCGGCACACCCCGTGCGCACGCCTATGTTTGACAGTGATCTCTGCCACTCTCTCCTCTGTAGTGATTTGTGAGGCGAGAGAGACAGAGATCGTGATAGTTTGTTGCAGCAGAAGTGTTCCAGAGCTTTATACAGTATCTAAAGTGAATAAAAAAACTTTTTAACCCCTTCCCTGCCAGATCTGTTACAGCAGTGCATTTGTACTGTCTGTATTTTTTGTAAATCTGTGTCTTGGTCTGTCTTGGTCAGTCAGTTTCCTTCCCCCAAATCTCCATTAGATTTTTGTGACAGGAGTTAGTTTAGGGATTGCTGTTTAGTCTGTTTTAGTAAAAATTAAATTAAAAAAAAAAGTATAAAAAAATGTGTGTGTTTGTAATTTGTTTTAGTTGTGTGTAAAACATGCAGCATATGTATAACTTGCAGGAGGCATATGCCTTCTTGGCATCAGACTCTGACGCCACTGACACTACGTCAGATTTTGACCCAGGTCAGTTTTCTGACACGTCTAGTCAAGACGACATGTCATCTGTGTGTGAGCCGGCTGAAGAAAGAAGCTGTGATTCCTCTGCTACGCCGAATGTGGAGGAGGACTGGGTACCTCCACATTTAGCCGAGCCCAACGTCCCCCCTTTTAGTGCCAACGCAGGCATTAATGTTAATATGGATGGCTTCTCCCCAATGCAGTGTGTAGAACTATTTTTAGGGGATACCATCTGGGAGGAGATTGCTTCTCAGACTAACTTGTATGCTACCCAATTTATTGATAACAATCCAAGTAGCTATACAGTCAGGGAGCATGACTGTCATCCCACAGATGTCCCAGAGCTTAAAAAATTCTGGGCTCTTACAATGCTCATGTGGATTATAAAAAAGCCATCGATTCGCTCACACTGGAGCACCAACCCAATAATGTCTAGGCCAGTATTCTCCCAAACCATGCCTAGAGCCAGATACAAGTTACTGCTGAGATTTTTACATTTCAGTGACAATACCCTCTGTCACCCTAGAGATCACCCCCAATACGATAGGCTTTATAAAATACGCCCACTGCTAGACCATTTTCAGGACAAATTTTTGGATGTTTATACCCCCCAACAAAATTTATCCATAGATGAATCTCTAATGAAGTACAAAGGGAGATTAGGGTTCAGACAATCCATCCCCTCAAAGCGCTCTAGGTATGGCATAAAACTGTACAAACTGTGCGAGAGCGAAAGTGGATACACGTTTGCCTTTCGTGTATATGAGGGGAAAGATGGTCAACTGGACCCTCCTGGCTGTCCTGACTCCCTGGGGACAAGTGGGAAACTTGTATGGGACCTACTACACCTCTTGTTTAATAAAGGTTACCACCTTTATGTGGATCATTTTTATAGTAGTGTCCGTCTGTTTAAAACACTTTATGGTTTACAGACACTAAAAATTAGGGACAGGAAGGATGTCAACATGCTAACCACCATCCATGACTAACGCATGTCAGACGTCTCTGTCCGGGGCAGAGTAGCGTCCAAACCGGTTTGCATCAGGACGTATAATAAGTACATGGGGGGGTGTTGAGTTGGCTGATCAGCTGATGCATCCATATCTTAGTTTACGAAAAACTAAAGCATGGTATAAAAAGGTGGCTATATCTGATACAAATAGCAACCCACAACTCATTTTTGCTTTTTTAAAAAAATAATCCAGGGAAAACCACCTTTCTCCAATTTCAGTTGAAAATAATTTCTTTAACAATTTATGGAGATGGACAAGTTCCAACAACGGTGCGAGCTCCAGACATTTTATTTTTAAGTTACCGCCAACTGCCAGAAAAAAAAAACCCCAGAAACTTTGCTGGGTCTGTTTTAAAAAAACGGGAAAAGGACAGACACCCCTTTTCACTGTCCTGATTGCCCTTTCAAAACCAGGACTGTGTGTAGGAACATGTTTTAAGCTGTACCACACAGAACAGTTGTAAGAAGTGTTCCTGAATTTTTATTTTATTTTTTGTTTCTTTGGAAAGCAGCCATTTTTGTTAGTCAGTTTCCTTCCCCCAAATCTCCAGTTAGATGCTATTTGCAGGAGTCAGTTTAAAGATTGCTGCTAAATGTACATTTGCTACCTGCACATTTGGTCTAACAAGTTTTCTGGCAGTAACACATAACCAGCTGGCCAAAACCAGATGACGTGTGCATAAAAACCAGAGTTAAAAAATTACCACTACACTTTCTTTGGGAGAAAGAAGTCAAAATACCCCATCTTCTATAACCTTTGATGTCTACTTTATAAAAATATATACTATATATTCTGTCATGATGGTAACATTAACTGGGGGGGTGCAAACATATGTCAAACTGAAGATAGACCAAGCATCCCTATATATCAAGTTGAAAAATTGACATGTACAAGTTCTGATTGTTGCCTTTTGGCCCCCAAACAACCCAGCAACCCTATACATGGGGGGGTATCACTGTACTTGGGAGATGTTGCTGAACATATTGGGCAGTGTTTGGCAGTGACACATAACAGGATCTGTTAATTCATGCCTAAAGTACAATGTGTACAGAAAAAGGATAGGGGGCACTCCCAAGACCTGCATTTTGTATGAAAGGTGCTGCCGCAGTGACCAAACTTCATACATAAAACAATAAATAGTTGCAGCGCACTCAGACTACAAAACAATATTTAATACAAAGAAGGCTACTAAAATGCCTATCTGAGAATAAATATGGGGATTTAGTTCCACCATATGGCCATATGTTGTTAAGCCCACCACTACTTTCAAAGTACCCCAATATTGGTGGGTCCTACACTAAAAATGTGGGGAACAAATTAAATAGTACTAGTGTTGAAAATTACAAGTGTTAAATTAAATCCTGATAAGAGCATAGTGAGTATACAAAAATGAGTGATGAAAGCAATTAAAAACAGTGTTAAAACTAAACAAATAATGTGTTAGTGCTAAAAAGAGTATACTCACTATAGCAGATGATATCTGTGCTGACTAGAGAAAATAATAAAAGTGACTAGACTACTGAGAAACTCCTCCTATATATACACACCTGTGGCCACCTCTAAAGGAGCCTCTGAAGTTGGGGGGCCTGGGCGGGGTGCTTAACCCCTAAGGAATCTGGTCTGGATTCCAAATATAATGTATACAGAAAAAGGATAGGGGGCACTCCCAAGACCTGCATTTTGTATGAAAGGTGCTGCCGCAGTGACCAAACTTCATACATAAAACAATAAATAGTTGCAGCGCACTCAGACTACAAAACAATATATAATACAAAGAAGGCTACTAAAATGCCTATCTGAGAATAAATATGGGGATTTAGTTCCACCATATGGCCATATGTTGTTAAGCCCACCACTACTTTCAAAGTACCCCAATATTGGTGGGTCCTACACTAAAAATGTGGGGGAACAAATTAAATAGTACTAGTGTAGTACTATTTATTGTTTTATGTATAAAGTACAATGTGTGTGACAAAGAAACAAAAAAAGATTACTACCCAAACGTTTGACAAAGGCTGGTGGTAGAATTCAGTGCATGAAAAGTGTTAAAATACCACCATTTAAAATACCCTGGGTTGTCTACTTTTCAAAAATATATGGTTTGATGGGGGTAAAATACATAGGCTCAAATGGGACATGGGCGCAGGTTGATTACATGTCAAAATTCCAAGATGGGAAACTGATAAGCGCACCTGCCAAACGTGGCCTTTTAGCCCCCAAACAACCCAACACTCCTATACATGAGGGGTATCCCTGTACTCGGGAGATGTTGCTGAACACATACTGGGGTGTTGTTTGGTAGTGACACATAACAGGATCTGTTAAGTCATGCCTAAAGTACAATGTGTGTGAAAAAAACAGAATGTTTTTTACTAACTTAATGTTTGACAAAGCCTGGTGGTAGAATTAGTGCATGGAAAGTGTTAAAATACCACCATGTGAAATAAACTAGGGTGTCTACTTTTCAAAAGCATATGGTTTGATGGGGTAAAATACATTGGTCGGCTTCAAAAATGTCCCAAATTGGACATGCATGCAGGTTGACTACATGTCAAAATTCCAAGTTGGGAAACTGATATGCGCACCTGCCAAATGTGGCCTTTTAGCCCCCAACAACCCGACACACCTATACATGGTGGGTATCCCTGTACTCATATTGGGGTGTTGTTTGGTAATAACAGAATCTGTGCATTTATACCTGAATTGCAATGTATGTGAAAGAAATTTAAAAAATAAACTACCTATGCAAAGTTTGGCAAAGGTTTGTGGTAAAATGGCTGCATAGAAAGTATTGAAATATTCTTAGATGAATACCCTGGGTTATCTAGTTTAAGAAAAATATACACATGTGGGGTGTTTTTTGGAGATTTATGACATAACAGTGTTACAATGTCACTATTGATACATTTGAAAAATTTACATTTTGAAAAAGCAATTTCCTACTTGTACTTATATATACATAAACATTGGGTGTTTTTAAACTCAGGACAAAATGTTGAATCTATGTAGCAGTTTGTTTCATTCGATTTTGTAGATCAGTAAAAGATTTTTTAAGTAAAAGTC